ATTGCCTACCTCTCACATTCACTCTTATAGTAAGTTCTGTTTCTGGTCACTGGACTTGGCTAGGGGCAACCCAAAATAGAAGTGTATCACTCTACAAAAGGTGATCCACCATTTAGCCCTTACAAACACATTGTGGGGCTTAAGTGGAGGGAACAGGGCTTTTATGGGCCCTTTTTCTAGTGTGAACATCTAAATTGGATGCCCAAGACCTTTTAAGCACTCTAGAAAACTCTTGTTTGCATGTCCAGATGTCCAGCTTTGGAAACTGGCCTTCCCATCTTTATACTCTTGCCCACAGAGGAAGTGCCTTTAAGTGAACACGTTGCCGCTATTTATTAATATGGGTGATTGACTCCATTTATTTTGTGTAATCTAATTCTCGCTGCACAGGAAAGCTTCTGCGGGGCATCTGTCATTGTGCCAGAACTCGAAGCAGCCCTTTATTTAAAAGAAGATGGAAAGAAGTCCTGGAAGAGGCGTTATTTTCTTTTGCGGGCTTCTGGAATCTATTACGTCCCCAAAGGAAAAACCAAGGTCAGGAAATCACAGGAATCGTTTTAGCAATAAAGCAATTCATAGAGGTGAAAGTGAAGAACTCCCAAGGTGACATTTTAAGAGCAGTGTTTGGTGCATCTGAGAGAGTTTTCTCTTTGACTGCAACACTTGTGCAAATATTAGGGTATGGCCACTGAAATCTTGTGGCGTTTCCCCCATTTTCATTCCTACAGTTAGATAAAAGCATTGGATGAAATCCTGTACCTCTTGAAGTAAATGGTGGGGGGGAATAAATCACAACACCCTTTAGTTGGCATTTCACTGTAAATAATGCCATTGGTATATATATGGTTCTCTGAGAGAGAATTTTAAATGTTAGCAGTCTCATTCTTTGTAACAAAATGCAGATAAAGTAAATCTGTCGTTGTTTATAATGAGACTCAGTTGAAATCTATAGTCTGGCTTTGTAAATCTGTGTTTGTAATCAACTTGTCACACCAATAACTAGTACACAGAAGTACTCCACAATCTTGCATTGTTGTATACCATACATTTATCCTGAAGTGATCTTTACCTAGAGAAAATGCTCTACTGTTTCAGCTTTTTTAAGAATGCCCTCTCTAGAGAAAGAGGTGAGGTAGAGGCATTCAGGTTGCAACATCTAATACAGTGACATTTACTGTTACTGAGGATTTAAAGAGTCTGCATTAGTAGCCAGCAGCAGATAAGGTAAGAAGACCAAAGTGTACTGCAGCTTATTGCCTCTCATTTCTACAGTGAACGTCTTGGTACTAGCTTTTGGTATTGTGAGCAGATGTCAGTTTTCTATTCTGGAGAGAGCTGCCACTTACAGCTTTGTTATGGCTTCACCTCTATTCTGGATGAGGAAGCTTTTACATATGACAGAACCTCATTGTAACCATAGCTAATGAAGCACACAGAGTTAACAGAACTTAATTGTTCCAATGCTTCCAAAGTGCTACTGCTCAGGTGACCCAGATTCAGAAGCAGAGTGGGATCCAACCCTGGGCAAAACACAAAGAGATGCACTTAGATAACTGCCCTGCTTGTACAGCAATTTACAGAGTGGCTGCATAACAGTGGTCAAGGGGTTTTCCGTTCCTCAACTCCGCTCCTACCTGTCTAGCACTCTAAGCAAATATCTGAACCCCAACTGGAAGAGGCTTTACTTCAGTCCCATCCCAAGTAAGTTAAATGCCCTCCCTCCAAGATAGCTGGATTGTGAAATTGTTCTTACTCTTTTAAAGTAAAATGCGAATCACAGTAATTAGACATCACTTGAACTAGGTTTAAAAAAAAAAAATCTTGGTCATTCAAATATATGCCTAGACCCATGAAAATGTAAATATCCATGCAAGAAATTGTGCATGTGCTGGTTTTCAAAGATTTCATAGACATTCGGGCTGGAAGGGACCTCTGAAGATCATCGAGTCCATCCCCCCGCCCAAAGGGCAGGAA